GACAATAAAAAGGAAACAAAAGACCAGAACATCTCTTCACCAGCAATCATCACCCAGATAAGCAGAGATTAACACCAATATTATCACCAGATGTACAATCAAGCAATAAACAATACCCTAATCAAAGAACTACCAGGAAAAAAAAAAAAAACAGGCAGGGCAAGCCACTGTATATAAACAGAGAGCAAATTCCACTCCCTTCTAGCACTGAAGATGTAACGAAACATTTGCAAGAAAACAACCAAACTCAGGGAAACCCAAGGATTCCATAGTTCAGCCCATAGTTCATATTCTCTTCTACTGGTATTACAAAGATAATAAGTAACAAAACCTAACAGATTTTACCACTTTGAACACAGTGGGAATAAGAAGGAAAGTAATACATAATATATTGTGGGGGGCAAGATTGGAAGATGAGCATAGTTTTAAAATGAGAGGAAGTAACTTCAATAAATAGTGCTATGCTGGTTACACTATTCTGGTAGCTGAAAATGCAAAGGATCTGCAAGGTCTAGTAATAAAAGTCAAGGACCATAGTGAAAAAAATGGGACTAAAATTAAATATAAAGAAGACCAAACTAATTATAAACAGGTATAGCAACCAGCCTTAGAACTGACAATAAGGATATTGAAGTGGTGGATAGCTTCTGCCTTTCAGGATCAACTATCAACAGTAAAGGAACCAGCAGTCAAGAGATATGCTACAGACTAGCACTTGATGGAATAGCAACAAAACCTTGGAAAAATATTCAGATGCCATGACATGTCTATACCTACAAAAATCAGAATCACAAAGGTTATGGTTTTTGCTATGAAGCAAATTTGGTCTTTGAAGAAGCAGAATAGAAATTGATGTTTTTGAACTTTGATGTTGGAGAAGACTCCTAAGAATACCATGGATAGCCAAGAAAACAAAGAAATGGATCATAGAACAAACCAGATTTCTCACGATACAGAAATGACCATGTTCAATTTATCATTATTTTGGACACAGTTTGGACACAGTTTCTGCATAGGGTTCAGATTGCTAGTTGAAGCGTGTGAAGCTGTTGACTTGTGGTAAATTGGCTTTACCTCATTTGTTTTTACATCTATTTATGTTTTGTGTTGTTTGCATTTTGATTTTACATATTATTGTCCACCCAGAGTTGCTATGGTGAAATGGATAGCCCTATAAAGTGAATTAAAATATAAAATGCAAAGACCTAGCTCTCTGAAGTACTTTGTAATACTGGGAAAGGTGACAAGAAAGAGTAAAAGGGGACAACCAGCAGCAAGGTGGATGAATTCAATTACAGCAGAAATGGGTGCACTTGAAGGACCAGGTTGGGGATAGATCCTCCTGCAGAGAATCTCTCTATGTAGTTTTCAACAGTTGACACTGACTTGATGGCACATAATAAATCAAACTACCTTAACAGTGGTACAGCTAAGGCAGTGTTGTCCGAACTTGGCCACTTTAAGATGAGTGGACTTCAACTCCCAGAATT